TAAGGTTATCAATAGTCAAAATTTTGTGTTGTGCTACAAGCCAGATAAAAAGCTGAACTTTATGAGGAATAGGCCATTTCCAAATATAGATAATCTCAAGAAAGGACCACCTATAGCGATCATAGACAAAACAAATTGTAATGGGATTTTACTGAGAAAATACCATCACTCTCAATCTCCCATACCATCTCATCTACATCATCATGTAATATATAAACTTTTTTGTAACAATTCCATCAAGGCATACCATTGGGAGAAAATAACATTATTCAGCCTTCTATATCTAAGATTGATATCCCCTCTTCTTTCTACTACATCTCTAACAAATAAATCTGGTTCAGCGACCACACGAAAAAGGTCATGGAAAGCAACTTTAAGGGTGAACATTCCAATGCACTTATGATGCCAAAATAAGGCCTGCCTGCCATTGCCAACATTCCATTTAAAATACCCCGAGATCATAGGTCTACAATTATAAGTGGCTTTCCAAGTGTAAGAGACATCCTTCCCTCTACCTCCACCAAGCCATAAATTGTGATTGTCCATCGCATATTTTGCGAGAAGCACATTATACCAAAGATGATCCTTACCCACCATTTACACAGTAAAACCTCATTAAATTTCCTAATATTACAAATACCAAGGCCCCCTTCACGTTTGGGAGTACAAACCCTTTCTCATCAGACCAAATAGAACTTTCTATGCTCTTTCCCTGATCCCCAAAGAAAATCTCTCATCATTTTCTCTATCTTTCTCCCCACTGAAGCTGAAATTTGGATCAAGGACATCTGGTATACAGGTAAGTTGGCTAAACAGGAACGGAGCAAAGTTACCCTACCACCAAAAGATAAGTACTTGTGCTTCCATAAATCTAACTTAATTTGTATTCTTTCAATTACCTTGTCCCATACAGCAATAGGGAATTTAGAATATGAAATTGGTAGGCCCAAGTAGAAAATAGGAAACAAACCCACCTTACAACCCACCACTCTTGCAAGATTCTCAGTCAGCCTCTCTCCACAGTTAATACTCAGCAAAGACGACTTGTGAAGGTTTACTTTGATCCCCAAAACCACTTCACAAATTTCAAGGAATCTTGTGATATTTTCCAGCTGTTCTACTTTAGCATCACAAAACCCAAGTGTATCAACCGCATATTGGAGATGAGACACAATGATATCAGAGTTTGCAATTTGGAAACCTGTGAAGGCTCTACTCCTCTCAATGTTACTAAGCATGAGACTAAAATATTCTGCATAAATGGTATAAAGAAAGGCAATGGAGGATCACCTTGGCGAAGTGCCATAGAGGCATTGAAAAAAGCAGTGAGACTTCCTTTGAACAAAATAGTGAAGTGCGTAGAAGAAAGATACCCATAAATCAAGTTTCTCCATCTATCACCAAAACCCATCAATTTCATAACTTCTAACAAGACCCCCCACTCCACCCTATCATAAGCCTTCTCTATGTCCAACTTTAGCATAACACCTTCCACTTTACTGAGGACACGAGAGTGAATGCATTATTGCGCTACCAGAACACTATTGGTAATCTGTTTATCCTTGATAAGCGTCGACTGAGACTTTGAGATGAGGAAGGGAAGAACTTCTTTAATTCTCTCAATAAGAATTTTGGCAATAATTTTATACGTACTCGTAAGCAGGCTAATATGTATGATATCAAAAAGCTCACTGATATTCGATTTTTTGGGAATTAGAGCCAAAAAGGTAGAGTTAATACCTTTAAAGATCTGACTCTCAATAAAGAACTCTCTGACCATGGTGAGTAAGTCCTCATTCAAAATATCCCAAAACTTTTGAAAAAATACCATAAAGAAACCATCTGGACCCAGTGCCTTATCCCCAGCCAAGGCAAAAACAGCATTTTTCAATTCCTCCATAGAAATGGGTCTCTCCAGGTGACAAGCTTGGTCCCCTTGAAGCACCTTAAAGGGCACATTGGGAAATCTAGGACTCAAGAAAACCTCTCTAGAAAAAGCCTTCTTAAAATGGTTCACTGCACCCTCTTCCATGGCCACAAAGTTCTCAGGATCTATTCCAAGGATCGTCAATCCTGAAATATCATTTTGTCTTCGCCTAGAGGAGGCAATCGCATGAAAAATTTTGTATTGAGATCGCCTTCTTTCAACCACTTATTCCTTAAACGTTCTTCAAATGAACTTCCTCGATCCTACGTAACTCCTCAAGCTCCTTCAATTTCATATTCCTATCAATAATCACGGCCTCAAATAATTCTCCACTATTATGCAGATAAGACTCTAAGCCTTCAATATTCGCAATGACCATATCAATCTTGGCTTTAATATCTACCTTATTCATTCTCTTCCAATCTAGCAACTTATGTTTAATATACAATAGTTTTTTGTGAATTTGGAAATCCATCTAGCCAATCACCACCGTATTCAGCCAGGTTCTTTTAATGATTTCCACCGCCTCTTTTTCAGCTAATCATCCCACCTCAAAGCGAAAAGGCCTGGGCCCTCCCCTCAGACTTCCAGTATTTAGAAGAATGGGGACGTGATCTGAGGAGAGTCGTACCGTTGATTTCACAAGGGCTAGTGGGTAAACTTCTAACCAATCAGCAGCCACAAGAAATCTGTCCAATTTGGACATTGCAAGATTACTTACACTATTATTAGATCAAGTAAACTTAATACCAACAATAGGTAGGTCGAAGATTGCATTGGTCTCAATGAAATCATTAAACTTTCTCATAAAAAAATTAATTGGGTGACCTGCTAAACATTCATCAGGCCACCTAATAAGGTTAAAATCCCCCCCCCCCCCCCCCAATGACACCAGGATATGGCACAGACTGAATTATAGAATGCATGTCAGAAATAAAACCATCTTTCAAAGAAGAAGCATTTGGCCCATAGACATTCATAAAGGCCCAAGTAAAATCCAAATTAAGACCCCTAAAACCTAACAAAAGTAAATTATCTCTGATAATGGTCTCAAAAGAGGAGAGAACGTAGGATCCCAAAGAATCCATAGGCCTCCAAAACTACCCACTGCATCAATATTCCACCCACTAATTTTACTAATTTATGTATCAGTCCCTCCAATGGTTGCTAATTGATGTTGAGAGGATGTGACTAATGGCTCAAAAAATGAACTCGAGGGCATGAAATTAATTGGTAATTAATTTAGGTATGTTAATCTTTCCAATCCATGCTTTTATAGATTATTTTATTGTTTTTTGTGCGTATTATTTTTCTCGCAAAGTAGCGTGCTTCATGCAAGTTGTGCATCTCAAGTGGGAGTTGGCGGCAAACTATCAGTGAATGTGCATCTCAAAAGGTAGTTTGGGATTTTTATTTATGACTTTTGTATTGTTTAATTTTTACATTTATAAAAGATAATATAATATCTTTTAACAAAATAATTATATTTAGAGAAAATTACATACATATCCGTTAAAGTTTACGTTATTACAGTTATACCAAATAGTTTCCGTTATTACACAACTGTCCGTTTTTTACCTTTCATAATGCTATTTTTTAAAAAAGATAACTTTGCCCTTTTCGGATGTTCAATATTCAAAACTGTGAAATTTTCGAATGTTCATCAATTTACTATTTTCGGATGTTCAACATCCGAATTTTTCATATTTTCGGATGTTGAACATCCGAAAATAGCGCGAACAGTGTATTTCACTTCGTCTTCTCTATTTTCTGCTTTTTTGTTCATTGTTTCAGAGTGCTTTGTTTGTGAGTGCTTTTGTGCGCCTATTTGATCTTTGGTAAAGAATAGTAGATAGTTCTTAGATATTGATTTTCAACAGTGTACGTTACATCATTTCTTGGATTTTGATGCAATTTCACATAGTGAAGGTATATGGGTCAATTTTTTATATTTAGATTGCCACCTGACTTTTTGTTAGGGTTTATACTCAAGCATACTAGTTATTTCTTGTGATTTGGGTATAGATTGATTTAATTTGTGACTCCATTGTGATTGAATTAGATATTTAAAATTTCGGGCTTTTAAGAACTTGGAATTTTGTGGCATCTGCAGAACTATAAATTACTTAAACTTGGGGGTTTATACTCTTAGATAGTTTTAAGCACATATTTATGTTAGATTTAGTGATATTTTAGTAAATTGTTGATTTTTGTAGTTGATAGATTGAGTAGCTCAAAAATTAAAAATTGTATGTGATTTATGATTCAAGTACATATTTACTTTGAATATTTTGCAAAGTATTTAGTGAGTAAATTTACTTCGAACGTATAATTGTGAAATGTATTTATCTATAATCTTTCTTGTTAACTCAAGAAAAAGTTGTGTATTGATCCTAGGGATGTTTATCATACATAGAAAGACATTTCTATGTATGAATCAATGAAACATTTCATAAAATAGCACCATTTACAGATTAATCGAGTACTTCTTTTTTTGGATACTTGTCAAATAGGTCATGTGATTCCGATTTTTTATCACTATAATTTGTCTCATTAGGATTGATATTCATATCTATAGTTAGGAAATTCGTTTTCATGTCTCTTGTGATCCTGATCCTTTCTAGTTGATCTCTGATTGTGGTTGTCTTATCAGACAAATCCTATATATTTCGTGAGTAGATTTATGATTGAAGTATATATTTAATTTGAATATTTCAACATTGTATGTGATTTATGTAACTTATATTTTGGATAGAATAATTCGTGACTAGATTTATTTGCGAGCTCATTCGATTTGTGACTTAGCGTTGTTTCATTGATTCTTTATGCAAATGCATTATGAGGTATTGTTGTCTCGAATTAATTCTATTGCATTATCATGTTCTTTTGATAGAGTAGTATTAGGTTATGGTCTATAACACCAGTTTATGGTCTAAAATTTATAATTGTTTTCGTTTAATAATAGCATGTCATTATTGTTTGTTTTCTATCCAGTAAATATCTATATATGTAACCTTATGATTAACATGGTGACCATATGGGATTTCAGTGAATATGAATCGTTTACATCCTAATGGAGGATACCCAGGAGGTCCTCAGGACCCTAGTTTGCTGCAACTTCATCCTGAACATGCATCATATTTTATATGAGAATGACAGGTATGTGCATATATTCATCTATTAATTTATTATTTTACAATAAATTGTACTCAGGTTCAAATATTTTATGAGAAGCACATGTATATATATTGGGACTAATATGTTGTCTATTTGTTGTATTTCAAGAGAAAGAAGAAATTAGAATTTATAAGAAGAGTTATCAATTAAATGAATGGAAAATGTGTCTGGGTTGGGTCACTTGTCTATCATTCAACCAGGCCGAACTGATCATCCTTTGGTCTCAGCTAATGTAGAGAGGTGACATTCTGAGACCAACACATTTCATTTCAATATTCATATTGGTGAGATGACACCAACGCTATTTGATGTATACGAGATATTATGACTGGCTGTGGATGACGACCCAATTACATGTCATCCTATCAGTGACCTGCAACAGTATATAGAAGACAATTTGGGTATTGTAATGGCAACCTGACAAGCCTGAGGCATACATGGTTGAAGGTGAATTTTAGTGAATTGTCACCTGATGCAACTCCTGTTCAAGTTTATAGATATACTCGAGCATATATGCTCTTCCTCATTAGTGTCACCATATTCGCTTATGCATCAGTTTCAACTATGTCAACGAGGTACTTGCAGTTTTTTAAAGATATTGAGGGAGCTAGTACATATGCTTGGGGTGCTGCAGCCCTTACATTCTTCTATCACTCACTTGGAAAAGCTTGCACTTTCAAGCAAAGACATTTTAATGGTTCAGCCACTCTCATACAAGTAACCTTTTTTTTCTGGTATATGACATAAGAGTAATAGGTTAGACTGCTTTCCTAACGTATTTAATATTTGTCGTATCTTAATATATTACAGTGCTGATCGTATGAGCATATTATGCATATGATGCCCATACCGCATAGTATCTCTCCAAATATGCCAAGGGCCAAAAGATGGGAGCCACCAAAAAAAAATCATGGCAATCCCATAACCTAATGCCTCCCATCAGACAAGAATTTGATAACCTCCAACCTAATGATGTTAGTGTATAATTTGATATTGATTACTTTCAAATATATTTAAGTATTTGTAATTATTTTTATTGACCGATTGCATATCATATAACAGGTAAGTTGGAATCCTCATTTCAAGCTTGAGGAGGACATTCCAGATGATAGGCAGCAAGCATATCAAACTGCAATGTGCATTACAACACTGATATTTGACGATATTGTCGAGTCGAACATACCAGATCGAGTACGCCGACAATTTGGAGCTAAACATGGCATTCCTAGAAATCCCTCGGTTGTTAGTAAGAGAGATAACAGACAAGGTGAAAAGCAAGATTGGCGAACTGTGAATGCAAACAAAATCGCTCACTGGTTGTCTCGCCATGACTGCATGATGCCTGAAATTATAGAAGATACTGACAATGGGTTGCCTTTAGAGGAGTACAAGGTCTGGTACAACTTGGTGTCTCATCCTCTAATACATAATGTCACTAACTCACCCAAAAACATATTACAACCTCATATCCAAGAAGAAGAAGATGCGGTTCATGTTCATGAACCACAGTATATAATGAGACCTCGAGGTTATGAGGACCAGTTGGTAGGTTTATATTGACCTATAAATTCTTATAGTACTTTATTTACCTATTAGTTCTATGAAATTATTTAAATATATTAATTATGTAATCTTGTTTGTGCAAGTTAGTGCAGTTCAAGCATCTACAGTCATGTTAGCAGAGGCTCTTACACTTAAACAAAAGTGGTATCCTGAAATTTAAAATTGTGTTAACAACGAGTTTGAAACGTTGTCTAAGTTTGTGCCTGTGGATATGGGTAACGTAGAAGCCAGGATAGAAATTTTGTAATGTCAATATAATGACGAAGGTGTACCTGACTAGGCTGGACATGATGGAGTGGGTGAAAGTAGTCGGGTTGTAGAAGACCTAACTCCATCCACACAATCTGTAGTTGAGGAACCCAGAAGATATAACACAAGAAAGAAACAATATCAGTCTAAGAGAAGGCGACCAATGTAATGGGGTCTTGACCCATGTAATGTATTGGAACACTTGGTCATTTTGACAGTTGAAATGTATTGGTCATTTTGACCTACCCAATTTGTTGAATGAATTTTGTCTTGGTCATTTCTACTTTCGCTCAAGTCTTTCTTTGTACTTTCGTTTAAGCCTTTACATATTAATGGAGTATGTGGCTTGTTGCGTATTAAAATTGTTTAATAATTTGAGTTTCTGAAAAGTATCACTGAGAGGTGAAGACTTGCATGTGGCACATAAGTATTACATTAGGGAAAGTTGAACATATGACAGAAATCATGTGAACTAGGGAAAGTTGAACATGTGATAGGAAAATTGATGATCAATCCGATGTCTAAACTATTTTTGGATGTTCAACATCCGAAAAGTCAAACTTTTCGGATGTTCAACATCCGAAATCATTTTTGGATGTTAAACATCCGAAAAATGGAAATTTTCGGATGTTGAACATCCAAAAATATCATTGTGACAATCCAGGAGCTTCCTAGATTTTGACAGTCACATTTTCGGATGTTCAACATCTGAAAATGTCAAATTTTCGGATGTTGAACATCTGAAAATGTGACTGTCACAATCCAGTCAAATTTTCGGATGTTTAACATCTGAAAACTGGCAATTTTTGGATGTTTAACATCCGAAAATTTGACTACTAAAATCCAGGAAGTTCCTAGATTGTGACAATCACATTTTCGGATGTTGAACATCCAAAACTTTGATGGATTTTGACAGTTATATTTTCGGATGTTGTACATCCGAAAATTTTGACTTTTTGGATGTCCAACATCCGAAAATTGATCAAGGTTTGGAAAAAAATGGATGCATGGACATGAGAATAACACATGGACTTGAAAAAAAAAACGGATGGATGGACATGAAAAACAGATGCATGTACATGAGAAAATAATGGACTTCAAGGTTTGGAAAAGATGCAGTAACACAATTAGAAGATTTATGACAACAAAGAATTCCAATTGCACTAACACAATTTTGACAACAAAAACACAATATTCACTTCATTCATTAATTCATGAAATTCATAATTCGATACAATAATACAATATTAACATCAAGTAATTCACTATATCGGTTCTCTACATGTCCTCCTATTATAATCATCTGCACCATATCGGTTGCACTTCAAAAGCCTGGTGATCGGATGTTTCGTCTCGGATATTCTTCGTTGTTTTTTTGGCGTACCGGTAAGGCGTGTAGTCCTTGATAGCAACATTGTCCAGTTGTAAATACCTGTCAACTCAATATCATCCGGGATAGGCACAAAGGGAGTTTCAAATGCCCTTTTAAAGTATTCCACTATAAAATACTTAAGGCAATACACAGTGGGATCCAAATGCATATGGTTAATAGCCGCAATGACATGGGACACGAAATGCCACTGAGTTGCCATTTTCTACAACTGCATATCCAATGCGTTAAATCGAAAACGTACTTCTTCCCAAGATAATGGATCTCAAACTGCATGTCCATGGCGGATATAACTGCTTGCAAAAATCGAGCATTCATCTTTCGCATGTTAAGTAATTCTTGGGCCTTCGGTACTAGCATGCTGCTCCAAGTATTACCTAACTCCATCTTCTCTTCAAACCTGGTCATCAACTGTATCCTTATTTCTTTACACATTGTAATGATTAGCTTCTCTCGAGCTGATAAAATCGAAGCATTGAAAGACTCAGCCATGTTTGAGGTAAGATGACTGTATCTAGACCCTGAAAAATAGGCATATGCTCAAAATTTGGGGGGAATATTCTTAATCCAATCATATGCTTCCAGGTCGGCACATTGTATATCAAACATTATTTTTTCAAACCCACAAATGGTCGCTTTACGAGCATCCTTCCAAAACAGCATCAGCAATACTTTAATATTTGCTTACCTCTTCATAAAGCCCTTGAAGTTCTCTCCCATATGTCGCATGCAAAATGATAAAAAACAAGTGAGAAAGCATTTTTCTATTACTTCTGGCAGGCTTTTCTGTTGATCAGATACAGTGGTTAAGGCAGGCAGATTAGGATACCCATTCAATAGCCCGCTCAATATACTTAAGAACCAATACCACCTCTGGTGTTTCTCCTTCTCAACCACTACAAATGCCAATGGGAAGAGCCCATTATTTGCATCTAACGTGATGGCGCACAATAAAATGCCTTGATACATTCATTTTAGGAATGTTCCATCAATACCAATTAGTGGCCTACATCCATTTACAAAACCCGTAAGGCATGGACGATAAGCAATAAATAGTCGTTTGAATCTGCCTTCATCTGTGTGGATGCGAACTTCGATTTCCGAGTTGGTTCTTCTGATCTTCTCAATATACAGGGGGAGGTCATGGTATTGTTGTTTATGTGATCCATCTATCATTTCTCTAACAACCTCTTTTCCTCGTCAGCTTGCATATAGGAAAGTCTGACCCCGTGATCACGTTGAACATCATTTACAATATCTTTTGCTTTAATTTTTGGTTGGTCAAGAAAGCGGCCTTTAATCTTTTTTGCCACCCAATCACTACGAGCTAGTGGTTGATGGACTCTCTCCATTAGACCACTACATGTGTGCTCCTTAACGATAGACTTTACTTTAAAGTATGCAGTATTGCCAACTCGTAAGCACCGCACTTGCCATGTGCATCCATCTGCGTTGTAACTTGCACACACCCGTCCTAATTCACTTTTGTCAAACTTTTAAACAAAATTATTGTGGATTGCAAAATCAACTAGGTGATGCCGACATTCATTAACATTTTCAAAAAATTGCCCAGCATTCAATTGAACCTCGTTACCAACTCTTGTACATGAACTCTTTAGTGGTTCAATATCCTCCATATCACGCTCTGGTACGAGCTCAGGGTTGGGCACCACTTGAATGTTTTGATCTTGCTCAGGTTTAGCGTTACGCCGACTGTTGACAAAAGATAGAGTGTAAGATGAAGAAATAATTTATGCACATATAAGATTAAAATAAAGCAATTTACAGATGAAAGAATAAATTGTAAATATACATGTTCCTTGAAGATGGGCCCTCAGCAACAGATTCTTGTTGTGGCTCGGCAATCTATATTACAATTCTCGAAGATTCCCCTCCCAACATAAAAGATACATATATATCATCACTAACATCAATCAAATCAAGCCCACTAGATAGATTTGTGTTGTGGTACATAATAGCTAATTTGTTTGGATCACACTTGGTTAAATTAGCAAAATGACTTTTTAATTCCTTCAATGAACTATTCTCATTATATTTGTGACCTTCAATTTTCCTCCTTTATAAATAACACGGCTGTCATCTGCATTAGTCTCAAATGACCCCCATATCAGAATACTAGTCGCACTCCCTCAGTAGCCATCGTCAATACTACTGTACTAAATGAATAGCAAAATTTGTGTTACAAAAAATTAATACAAAAAAATTACCAAAAATTGGATATTTTTAACTACTTTAGGGTTCATAAAATCTGAGTATTACATAATAGATTGAAATAGTGTACTACTAAAATTGTAAGTAATAAACATTAAACAAAAGAAAACAACAAATACTCACATAAACACAAAATAAACAACAAATTTTAATACAAATAAACAAGTTTAACAATTATTTAGCCAAAACAAGGAATACAATGTATCAACATGATACAAACAACAAATAATTATATAAAACAAATAACTTCATCAAATTAAACAAATTCATTTTATTAACAAAAACTACACAACAAATATTATTAACAAAATAAAATATCCTAAAAAATAGCAGATAATAAACTTCAATTAATCATCCGTAAAAAGAAATAGTCCAATCACGTCCAAATAGTGAGTCATTCTCTTCAATTTTGTGGGTTACTGTATTAAGGGACAGTAAAAGGGGTATGATGCTTCAATGCTCGATTTTTCCCAACTTTATAAAAATAAAAATAAATAAGTTTCCGCCTAGACGTGGGAAATGTTGGAGCGAAAAATTTCAGATGTTCAACATCCGAAAATATCAGAAATTCGGATGTTGAACATCCGAAAATGACAAAAATCATGGTTGGAGCTGCAGCTATTTTCGAATGTTCAATATCTGAAAATTGCAAAAATTCGAATGTTGAACATCTGAAAAAGGGAAAGTTGTTTTTTTTTTAAAAAAATGCGTAATGGAAGATAAAAAACATACACAAATGTAATAACGGAAAGTATTTGGTAGATCCGTAATAACATAAAGTATAACAGATATGTATGTAATTTTTTTTATATTTATACGATTAGTTATGTGGTCAATTACGTCATTCCTACATGCCTTTTATATGCAACGCATATAACCCACCTAGTAATATCTAAGGGTGTGGTTTGTATAAGGTTGACACCCTAAACAATCAAAGTAAGGTGTACCTATGAATAGTGTCAAAAGATGATTTTTTCAATAGCAAAAATATACGTGATGGCTTGAAAATTTGTTTTCATATTTAATTATAAGATTTTAAACTTCAAAAATAGTGTAAATCGAACATATCTATAAATACTTGAAATATTGAAAATTGACAGCCCAGATGGTGCACTATTTCCTAAACTTGAAATTGATTTTTGTTTTCACAACCTATACATCTCGAGGTCGAGATGATCGATTTTTGTTTTCACAAACCTCTTCCAGTAAATTTGCAAGTGCCCCTAAATTTGATTGCTTAGGCCTCGACTTTATATAAGCTTTTTTCTATACAGATATAGTATTGTCATTTTACAAATTTCAGAAAAGAAAATGCTTTGATCAAAATAAGTAAATCCTCACCTCATAACTCATTGAAAATTGCAAATCAAGCATCCAAAAATTTTTACATCGAATCATCTCGACTTGAACATTATGGTTGTGAAGAAAAAATTGAATTCCAAACTCTAAAAATAATGTATATTATAACAAATTATCTAAACCGTTTATTTTGCCTTAAAAATAATTGTTCATAGATCTACAAGATTTGTATCATTTTTTTAGTTTCAAATTTTATTATCGGTATTGAAAATTGATTTTAGAGCCTATTTATGTCGCCATCTAGATAAGGATAAGAGATGAGGCTTTATTTTGTTTTGATAAAGCTACGTCCTTATAGAAACCTCATCCTTTTAGAAACTCTAAATTTAGAAATAGATCTGGATACCATTCTAGCGTTTCCAAACCAAATCTCTAACCTCCAGATTTTGAGGTAAATTATTGATTAAAATGAGCGATACGTGATTGGTTACCGTCGGCGCCTAATGTAAGCCGCACCATTTATTCAATGGTTCCTTTTAAAATATATATAATTTTATATAAAATAATCTCTGCACTTGATAGAAACTATACAATTGATTCCCGTAGAAGAATTATTATATTCTACTTATTGGATTTGTTTTTGTTCTAAACGTTCACTCAATAATTCAACGCTTTCCAGATTTCTATATAACTCAGTTCGTCTCTGAAACACCCATCTAAAAATTCTGAGTTTCGAGGAAAATGTGTGATTATTCGTTCCCACTATTAATTGCTAGTAACCATATTATTCATTAAGTTCTTTTTTTTTTGAAGAAGAACAGTGTTTTTTCCGCCATGCCTGAATTCATAGAGCTCAACTGTGTGGATCTCTCAGAGCCAGACCTCAACAAATCAGTCTCTCTTCTCAAACACGTAAACAATTCTTTCTCATTTGTTTTTCTTTTTTGGTTGCAAATTTTTCATTTTCCTTTTTTCTTTTCCTTATTTTATTTCTATTGTTAATTTGTTATGTTCTTTTGCAGCGATTCTTGTATTTGCGTGCATGATATGCTGTTATTTTCAAATTTTGGTGAATTAGAAATCATTTATTGGTGAATTTCGACTGTTACAGAAGAAAGCTCTAATCTTTAAGCTATGGTTATAGATAAATTTTAATGGATAATAATTTAATATTGTTGTTCTCCTTTTCATGAGATCAATGAAGCTTAACTTTTTGGGGAATTCTGGTTTTTGTGTTTCCTTGCAACTTCGAAATCAAGGATTTTACATCTTATTGTGCAGAAATTTCCACGTTATTTCTTTTCTCCATTGAATTCTTCCTAAACCCCCCTTCTCTGCTTTATATTTTATTTGATTCGTGAACTATTCTATTGTTCCAACTTTCAAGGCGCTGTTTGTTTCATCCTTTCCTATTATTTTCATTTTTTATGTAGTTCTTTCCTTTCCTTTTATTTTCATTTTTTATTTTATTTAGTTCTTTATAGGATTGGTTAAGTTTTATCTGTAAATTTTTCATTCTTTCTTGCATATCTGTTTTTCCTTACTTAATGAACCTTACTGGATTGTATTTTGGTATTATTTTATTCAAACAAGAACCCTATATTTTATTCAATCAGGTATCCCAACTTTGCACCGAAATTCATTTTTTTATTATTTGGAGACAAATATTTCGAAGTTATTCTTCTTGAGTACATCTTTGTTTACTCATATAGATGTTCTGTGAATTTCCGTGAATGTTGTTCTTTATTTAGATTCAGTAAGTCCATAAATTACACAGAGAATATGGTGTTACTTTTGTTCTTTATTTATTTGGTTCAGTGTTTGATATCTCTCTCTCTCTCTCTCTCTCTCTCTCTCTCTCTCTAAATTTCAATCACAGGCATGCTTGGACTGCGGATTTTTCTATTTGGTGAATCATGGAATTAACCTGGACTTCATGGATGAGGTGTTCTCACAAAGCAAGAAATTCTTCGATTTGCCTGTCGAAGAGAAGATGAAGGTTTTGAGAAACGAGCAACACAGGGGTTATACTCCTATGTTTGATCAAACTTTGGATCCTGATAATCAAGTAGGAGGTATCCAATAAGATTTTCCTGTTCTTCAGTTATATTTGAGCGTTTCTTTTTTATCTTTCCCTTTTGTTTTTCTTCTTCTTCTTCTTCTTCTTCTTCTTCTTTCTTTTTTATCTTTCCCTTTTGTTTTTCTTCTTCTTCTTCTTCTTTTTTTTCTTTTTCTCCTTTAGGCAATAGGTTCATTCTATGCATTTTTTAAAGAAAGAAGACAAGGCAATAACACCTTTTGATAAGGGAGTCTCTACAAAGAGACCACTTATCTTTTGTACATTGAGGTCAAAATCATTCTTATCTCTTGAATTTCAAAATGGGTGGTTGTAAGAGGGTCATTGAATAGACACAAAATTCAAAAAAAAAAATTTCTCAGACTTCATGACTCACCCCAAACCATCCAAGTTGACATCTAATGAGTGGGAATGATTGTGACCTCTATGTATAATGATAAATAGTCTCTTTATAAACAATCCCTTTTGATAATCAAGTACAACACAATTTTTAAATCACATTTTTAAAACTAATTCTTGGATATCATTGTTTTGGATGTCCAATAATGTGACCCTGTCTCAGCTTTGCTAAGAAGACGAGCACAAAAGTAATGATATATTTGTCACTGCACATATGTAACAAGAGAATGCTAAATATAACAGCACCCAATGCGTAAAATATGGCATCATACATGTCGTTCAAGCAAGTTTTAAGCTTTCCATTTGCAAAAATTTAATCTTGTGATGTTTTTGTCTTATGATTTCATCCAACTACACTTCATTGATCATCCACAATTGCCAAGTCCAAAATTCAAACTAGAATGTTGTACTAAAAACCATAAGGAATCATTTGAACACTTGAAAGATTATTTAGTTGTGGTCCCCTTACATAGAGTTTTTGATATTGATCCTTGATATTTTTTGCTCTTGAAGTTCTTTGGGTTGCAGAGTTGGTTTTAAGTGTTGGATTCTTATCCATGTTATCCAAGTTCAATGGTTTTAAGTGTTGGATTCTTACCCATTTGCATTTCAAAGATTCTTACGAAATCATTGTCTTACTCCTTGGGAGATGATTCCAACGTTTCAAGTTAAAATGACACTTCCTTATTGATTGCAGGAGATTATAAAGAAGGATATTTAATTGATGTTGAAGTTCCCAAAGATGATCCACCAGCACAAAGATTTTTTTATGGACCAAATTTGTGGCCTTCAAAAGGTAACTATGAATGAAGTACCATATTCCTTAGGAATAAATTGGTGTATCAAGGTAAAGATACAATTGGCCCTGCATCATATGACCTGGACTTGGATCCATGATGGTATTTAATGGCTTGTATGCCATCAATATGCATAAAAATGCAAACGTGAAAAAACGAATACTATTGTTCTTTTCATTTTCTAAAATTGATTTCATGTAAAAATATGGGATTCGAGTTTTAAGATTGTTTTTAACTTATGATATGTCTGCCGAATTTACTTTTTGGGCATTGACCTAGCTTCAATTGGTAGCTGTCAGATACTAGTAAGGTTGTGAATGGGTTGGATTATGTCTGGATCCAAAAAGTATACATGGGATCCAGATCTCAATCCGATTGGATCCAAAATATTCGGATGCGGGTCCTGATCCGGATCCAATCAGATCCCAAAAAGTTGGTTTATATATTTTATAACAAAAATAATGTATAACAAAAAATGCTATATAACATATATGTATGTATGCTAAAGTAAAAAGTTTATATAAGGTTGTAACCTTAAAATGTAGAATTACGGTGCACCTCAAAAATCCATCGGAAAATGTTGTTTTAATGTTTTCCAACCCTCTAATTGATCATCATCGAGAT